TCATTTATTTTTAATAAAATCTGCCCATTGTTTCTGTTGGTGTTTCATTTTGGGTTCTCTCCTATCTCTGGGTGGATTTTATTCATTCATTCATTTATTCATTCTGTGGTACACTAGTTTGAAACCAGGACCTTCACACTGAGCTACACCTCATCCTTTTAATTTTTTAATTTTGAGACAAGATCTCACTAAATTGCCCTGGTGAGACTTGAACTTTTAGTCCTTCTGTCTCAGACTCCCAACATGCTAGGATGATGGGCATATGCTCCTGTGCTTGGCTTATTTTTAATTATTTTGAGTGAAGAAAATGATTCCAAAAGTCAGAACTATACACAAAGTTATATTTAAAGAATTGTCACTCCTCGGCCTTTATCATCTTTCACCCATTTTTTTATCCTGTTTCCACCAACCTTCTCGTAGGTAATTAATTTTCTTAATTTCTGATTTATCCTACGGTTTGTTTCTATTTTGCATAAATGAGAAGGCTGTTTTTTTTATTATGTTCCCTTCTTTTGTGAAAAGTAGTATATAACATATGCTCTTTTGCACTTTGCTTTTTTCCTTTAACCAGTATATCTTGGAAATCATTCCATATCAGTTCAGAGAAATCTTCCTTTTTTTCTTTTGGTACCGGGCATCGAACTCGGGTCCTTGCGCTTGCGAGGCAGGCAGCAGAACCACTGAGCTAAATCCTCAGCCCTTCTTGCTTATTTTTTACCTGTACAATGCTCTGTATACAGATGAACCATTGTTTATTCCACATTTCTGCAAAGTAAGACATTTCTCCATTTCTAGTATTTTGCAGTTTAAAAAAATAATACAACAGTTTCATGTTATTGTCAGAGGAATACCTTGAGGGTAAATAGCTGGAAATGGGAAGACTGGGTCAGGATACAAACACAAATACAGTTTTGTTGTATATTGCCAAATTTACCTCCAAAAGAGCTCTACAAGTTTATGTTTCTACCAGCAATATATAAAGGTACATTCTCCAGTCTCACCAACAGAATATGTTGTCGAGGTTCTTAATATTTGCTAATGTAATAGATTAGAAATAATGTATCAGTGTTGTTTTAATTTGGATTTTTCCAAACCTAAATACCTTTTTGTATATTTAAGAGTCATTTTCATATCTCAGGGTGTGTGTGTGTGTGTGTGTGTGTGTGTGTGTGTGTGTGTGTGTGTGTGTGGTATATATTCATATATTTTTCCTATTTTTCTGTTGAGCTTTTGACTCTTTGTCAACTTATAAAAGTTCCTTACATGTTAGGAATACTATCTCTTTATGGTGTATGGTGCTTGAAATATTTTTTCCTTTTCCTTTTTGTTTTTTTTCATTTTTCAGATGGAAGAGTCTTTGCTTTGTTTATTGCTTTTTAAAAAATTCTACTTTGATTTCAAAACTTCTATGCTTTCTTTTTTACTTGCTTGTTCTACTCTCTCAATTCCTTTTTTTTAACATTGCTTTTATTTAACACTTAATTTAGCCTAAATATTGTGTATCATTAGTTCATGTTTTGTGCTCAATTTAATGTATATTTTTTTCTTTTAGGTGGTGAATTAAGCCCATTCACATTTATTGACTTGACTAATAATTTGATCTCAACTTTGTCATGATATTTTGTGGTTATATGTTATAAAACTTGTATTTTTTATGAGATAAGGATTGTTTCACTCATATATTTAATTTTTGTTGCTATTTAGCAAGGTTAGTTATTTTGTGATTTTAATGACTGCTTATATATTTATGTCTTTTAAATAGCCTTATCTCACTGGTTTTTTACATAACTTTTCACTATCTAGAGTTTGTCTTAAAAATATCCTTGGGGGCTGGGGATTTAGCTCAATGGTTCTGCTTGATCCCTGGTATGCCCCCCCCCCCAAAGACTCAAGCAGAAAAAAAAATTAAAAATATTCTTTATCTATTGCCTATGCAATAATTAGTGAGTGTATTTTACTTTCTGATTTTTAGTTATATAATTTCTATTTTATGAGGACATGTAACAGTTGTTTGCTAGTCTCCCAACTTAACCCCCAGCTTTATTTTAGTCAAATCTACTGTGCTCTTCATTGTTGTTTTTACTGAAATTTTTCCAGTTTCTTGTTGCTTTTGTAAAGCAATAAAGATCTTGCTTTTGTAAATTTTGCAGAAAGAGTTCATTAATGTGACATTCTCTGTGTTCAAGGCTTTTTCCATAGGTTGGGTACTTAAAGGATAGCACTGATGGGTATAAATTCTCGATCCACACTTTTCTAAACTGAGTTGTTTTAAAGTCTGCTCATTGTTTTTGTTTTGTAAGTTGCTTTTGAAGAACCTTATGCCACTCTGGTTGCTTTGCCCTTTTAAGTTGTTTGATCTTTTTGTTTGTTTGTTTGTTTGTTTTTGGTAGTGGGGATCCAACTTGGGACTTTGCACTTGTGAGGCAGGCTGCGGAACCACTGAGAGCTAAATCCCCGGCCCTGTTTGATCTTTTTGCCTAGAGACCCTGAGGAGTTCTTTTTCTGTCATTTTTTAAGTTTAGTAATTTTATTAGAATATGTCTTGCTTTTGGTCCTTTAACATTCTTTTTCTCAGGTACCCATTTTATTTGGTGACCATTAATTTCAGTCCATTATTTTGTTCTTCTTTTTTGGGTACTCCAATTATAAAAATGTTATTCCTTTTTTGCTTGTCTTCCATTTCTGCCACGTTCTCTCCTTCCCTTCCCTTTTCCTCCTCTCCTCTTTCTTCTTCTATTTCATTTTTCTGGTTTTTGCTTTTCTTCAATACCTCTCATTAAATTTTCCTTGATCTCTTTCATACTTTGTAATTTAAACTTCAATTTTGAGATTTTATTTCTTCTGTTTTTTTCCAGAGATCAATCAATTCTCTTTTTTATTTTTTTCATGCATATTTGTTCTAAATTTTTGAGTTTCTAACTCAAGAAATTATTTATACTCCCACATGCCTACTTGAACTTATTTTAATTTTGAAATTAAAGGAGGAGGGGGTGGATTTTCATCAGCTAAGCCATTTCGAATTGCCTTACTGAGTTTGGGCAATCCTCTGTACTTTTATTGCCTTTTCTTCTGTTTATTTTTGTTGATTTTTAGTTGCAGTTGATGTCCTACTTTTCTGGTGCCCTCTTTTGTTAGTGTAGCAAAGCACAGATCTGGTGGAGTTTGTGTATGAGTGGGTTGGGGGTATTTTTATAAGTCTGCTAATGTTTTTTAGGTGTGTTTTATCTTGCACAATCCTGAGTATTTTTATTTCTTCCCACCTAGCTGCAAAGGTTGTCTTTCATTATTTTCCACCCTTGTCTCTTGATTGCAGTTATGCCTGTGAAGGTTGCCACTTTGAACTGGGCATACTCTTCCATTCCTTTTCTCTAGTTCCTATGCTAGTCTAATGGGACACATTTTTCCAATTTTTACACTTAGGGTAAAGAGTAAAAGGTTTTACTCTTGGGGGTGATTTTAGATCAGTCTTATCATCTCACTCATTTACCGCTTGTCTTTTTCCTTCTTATTTTCTCAGCTTGCTCCTTTACCTCAAAGTAAGAGTTAGAATGGGAGTTAAAGCTCTCTCCCTGGGATGCTGTCTGCCTGCCTGCTTTTTATGTATAGTCTTACATTATTTTTAAGGACTGTAGGACAGCAGGATCTTTTTCTGAAGAGACCGCTTTGTTTGCTGGGCATTTAGAGCAGCTGTCTGGGATTTCCTGAGTCCATTGTCAGAGCCAAAGGGTCTCTGAACTGCCTGGGAGACGTGACCCTTGACTGCAGGTCTACACAGGGCGGGTGTGTGTCCATGATCTCCCGTGTCATGAAGGCGCATCCTTTAGGACTGTTTACCCGACACTCCAAGTTGGCCACTTTCCCTTGTGCCTCACTCGTTGCTGTGGTAAGTTGTCACAACCAATGATCGTTTTCCACTGCTGTATTGGCGAGGCTGATACTCTCCGTGGCTTTGTGCCAGGCATCTTGCTGGCTTCATGCTTCATTGTAGAGTTTGCTTGAGTAATTCCTTTCTATTTTGTTACTTCTTCAATGCTTTTAACAATTTAAAAAAGTTTTTAGTACTATTTATTGGGAGGTTTGTCTAGCCTCATACTACTAGAAATGGCAGTTGGTTCATTCTTTTATTAAAACACTTTATTTTTTACTTAATGGAACTTAAGATAGGAAGAATGATAGATTCATTTGCTCAGTTCTCTTTGGAGTTCTCCTTGGAGTCTTAGAGCTGAAGATCTCCCGTGTTGCCCCAAATGGGGATGCATTGTTTCATTTGTAAAGCAGTTTATGACTAACAGCTCTAGTTCATAGTGATGATGATGATGATGATGATAAGCAAAATTTCTTTACCACTTCATTGTGCCAAGTGCTCTATATTTTCCATGTATTATTTTATCCAAAAATAGTATATAGTATATATAGTATCATTCCATTCTATATATCATTACCTGAGGCTCAGCCGCCATGTCACTTGGCTAACATTTCATGGGTAGTAAATCCCACAAATATGTGTCAGACCCATCCCGGGCTTTGGAAGTAGTGGGCTAGCAAATTCCAGCATGCCTCCCGTCTTCATGGACTTTATAGGGTTTACTTCCTAGATGACACTTGCCTAGCTAGTCTCAGGTTACACTGGTTACACTGTCAGGACACTGACAGATGGACAGATACCATTTTAGGTCTGAAAGCTTGATTCACTGGTATTTCCACTAGAATTGAGGGTAGTTTCTCATGTTAGGAAATGATTATGAGTTCATGCAAATGAAAAACAGAGATCAGCGAAGTTCAGAATACTGCCTTAATTCCTTAGAGATGCTCCCCATGGTAGCAGTGAGCTTTGCTTTGTTGGTTTTGTCAGTGTTAATTTCAGTATGTTTGTTGACTGTAAGACATAATTCTTATTCCCACACATCTTAGAGTAGAATTTGCTTTTAGCAGAATTTCTATGTTGTTTCATATAGACTTTTTTGAGGATTATTTTGTGTATTTTTTCTCTTGATTTACAGCTATTTGCTGGCATAAAGGATGGAGAAAGCTTGCGGCTCTTTGAACACGGTTCTCGGTCTGCACATAAACAAGAGACACACAGCATGGAGGCCCTGAAGCTCATAGAATTTGACCTTAAGCAAACACTTAGCAGACTTGTGGCGCATCTTTTTGGAGATGGTAGGTACTCAGTATCTTTCTCTGGAGGCTTAGATGTCCAACATTTATCATTTTCCAAGTCATTGAGATTAGCATATCTAGATTATTTTCATCTAAGTTATGGTTTAACGATTCAGTTCTTTGTGAAATAAAACCTATACATTTATTGGTTCATTCTATTTGAGGAATAGAAGGATATGAAAATGGAATTGGCTGGAGAAAGAATAATGATAACAACCTTGTTAAGAATGATAATGGAGTAGGATCACTAATATCAGTGGGGAGAAAAGTGTATTTAGGCTGATTACTGTTATTCTATTATTATATTATCATTAGACCAGACTTGATGGGTGGGCTACTTTCCTAACCATGTGAATGAGCCCAGTAGACTGTTTTATATATTGACATACTGATTACTGCTATCAACAGTAAAAATATTAACAGTTAATTTCCTGTAGGGAGAACAATATTGTTCAGATCTGGATTCTCAGTTTAGTTACTTGCCTTCAATTATTCCCCTAAGAAAATTTTTTTGTGGTAAGGTCACCTCCTCCTTCAGCTATTTCAGACTTAACTTATTTTGTTTGATTTTCGAAAGATGCCAAGATAAGGTCAGGGGATTTTCTGAGTTGTGACCTATACTTAAATGCTCAGGGACTGGGAGTGTAGCTCAGTGGTAGAGGACTTGTTTAGCCTGTGCAAGGCCCTGAGTTCCATCCCCAGTGCCAGGGGAAGAAAAGAAGGAGGGAAGGAAGGAAGGGAGGAAAGGAAGAAAGGAGATAAAGAAGGAAGGGGACAAATACTTGAAAGATGGAAGCCTAGCAGGGTTAGAATTCTTGATTCTTTTATGAGATTAAAAACCAGCTTAATTGAGGTGTAACTGACATTAAATTATGCATATTTAAAGTATACATACAATCTGATAAATTGCTATACAATAAGCTTATATTTTTACAGTTCTCCAAGTTTGCCATAATGTACACACTTTAGACACCACCATAAGTATCAAGATAATATATACGTCCATTCTGTCCAGAAGCTTCCCCCTGCCTTTACTGTGTCTCACTTAGGCAACCAGTTATCTGCTTTCTGTAGCTATTAAGTACTGTGCATTTTCTGCATTTATATGAGTGGAATCTTAGAGTATGCATTCTTTTTTATAGTATGCCTGCATAGTTTTACTTAGTGTAATTATTGTGAGATTCATCCCTGTTGTGTGTTTATCAGTAGTTCTTTCTTTTTTTACTGCTAAGCAGTATTCCCTCCCACACTGTATCCATTCACCCACTGGGAGACATCTAGGTTGCTTTCAGTTTTTTTGCTGTTAAAAGTAAAACTCCTATGAACATTCATGTCTGAATCTTTTTGGGAACATATGATTTTACTTCTCTCGAGTAAATCCCCAGGAGTGAAATGACTAGATCGTTCTGTTTAATTTGTGAAGAAATTAATAAACCATCTTCTGAAGTGGTTGTACCATTTTCTGTTCCTGCCAGTGGTACATGAAAATTCCAGATGCTTTACATCTTCAGCACCACTTTGTATGGTTAGTCATTGTCATTTTTAGCATTCTGAAAGGAGTGCGGTGATCTATCAAATGAATTTCAGCATAAAGAGCTCTTCCAATAAGCAAGCCAGAAGAGAGAAATGGTCCAACATGGTAATCTGTGATGCATCCAGAATGATGACTAAATATATGAAAAGATGTTTATTCTTTTTTTTTTTTTGTACCAGGGATTGAACTCAAGGCAGGTGCCAGCACCACTGAGCTAAATCCCTGGCCCCACCCCCTACATTCTTTATATATGTACATTTTAAAAAAGAGCATTTGAACTTCAGGATAATGCCTTTCCTAAGGGATAGGGGATAGTATTAGGGTTGGGCCAGAACCCAGGCTGTATGTGTTTTTATAATGTTTTATTTTTTTAAAAAAATATAAAGTTGAATATGGCAAAATGTTATGACTTGATTAAATTGAATAATGGGTTTATGGATGGTTGCTATTTTTACTCCTGTTCTAGATTTAAAATATTTCATATTAAAATGGTATAATATGATAGTGAAGCAAGCTTCATGTAGAGATTGCTGATGTGAAAATCCTGTTACAGCCACCTTCTCTTTATTTTCATAATGAAAGAATGGAATTGTGATATTTTTAACAGTAATATAATCCATTTAACACTGAAATCTAGGGAGGTGGACTGTGTTGCTCAGACCATTTTATAGCAGGGTAGGATAGAAAGAAGCCTTGCATTTCAAGGGGATATTGTTCTGCGTCAAGTACCTTTATAGGAAAATTCAGATGAGCCTGAAACTTGTCCAACTATGGAGAGAATCTTTTCAGAGCCATCCTTAATTACATCTTCTTGCACACTTCTATAATCAAATGACATGCTACTTGTGTGATTTAGAAACTGGATTTCTACAGGATTGCAGGCATCGTGCTATGGAACAAGCTGGACATAATTGCAGTCTTCAAGGAGCTATGGAGAGCACAGGAGGGGACTAAGCATGGACCCCAGGCTGGGTCCTGGTGCAGCGCAGCCTGTCCTACAGGATCAGTGAGAATGAGCCAGTGAGAGGGCCAGAGATGAAACAAGGGGAGCTAGGGAAAGAAAGGAACAACACAGGTGAGACACAAATGCCAGCCCTTGAAAACAAGCATAACACGGTGCGCAGCTTTAAGGAGAAAAAAAGAACAGGCAAAGGAAGGGAAAATGATTAACAGCCAGTCTTATGCCCACTGAGAATGGTAGTGTGGAACCAGAAGGATTAAAATGAAGTTGCTCTAAAACATTGAACGGGTCACTTGGTGTTCTAGCCCTCAGTTTTTAACTTTTCAAAGTTTAGACAGTACTTGTTTTACGGGTGAATCAAGTGAAGTAACACTGAAAGGTGCCTTATAAGTTAAGCACTTTAAATGGGTGAAGAAAGGAAGGGAAATTAAGGCAGTCAAAACAGTACCTTCGAGAGGAAGAAATAGTCACGGCATGGCGGCTCTGCTTGTCATCTGCGTTCAGTCGAGAGGAATGAGCTGCCCCTTTGTACCCGCCTGGTGAGGGTGGCATTAGTGCCCTCCTCGCTGTGCTAGGCCCTGTGTGGACTGAGGGTATCTGATTCTCTGAATGTCCTTCTGGGCTTTCCTTTGGGTTGTATTTTCAATAGTTGTATTTGGCATTCAAAGCCAAGCATTGAGGTGAACATTTCCAGGTAGTGGATTTCTTTTAAAAAAAATTTCTGTGATACCTGATTTTTCTGATTATTATGCCTGTTGAATGCGCATGGCTAGGAATTAAAATTCTTATATTTTGAAACAGTCATGAAGTTTGATTGTGCTTTTGTTATTGCTACTGCTTTGCTTGTTTTCTTGTTTGCTTAGCAAATTTCTGAAAATGTCTTGGAAAACTTAACTCTGCACTGTCAATCTGAATGCCATTTAGATTAATAAAAATAACAATAATGCTGATGATGACCGCTGTAGAGATAATGGTTAGCAGTTTCTAAATCGGTGTGAGCCGCACATTTTTTCTTTTGGCCAGTTCTGAGATGTAGGTATTGTGGTCTCCATTTTCAGATAAGAAGTCTGGCACAGAGAAATTAAGTTGTGAAGATCACAACTCTATGAAGTATCCGAGCTCTGTTTTAGCCCATGCAGTCTGACTTCTGAGCCACGGTCGAGGTTAGCTTTTTTGAAAGGATAGGAAGAAACCATTTTAATAATATTTCTGAGTTGTGAGGCCTGTGGAAACCATGATGTTCAAACAGATGATAAAAATTGGGCTCCTTACAGCCGTTGCAGTCCATTGAGCGCCAGAGAGACAGCGCCAGGGCAAGTGAGAGCCAGACGGACGCTGGGCGGCTCTGTGCCTCGCTGAGGAAAACAAGTGAACATGGGCAAAGGGGCTCCAAAGAAGCCGGGAGGCCGGACGTCATCGTGGCAGTCTGTGTGCAGACTTGCCGAGAGGAGAGCAAGAAGAAGCACCCAGATCTTCCGTTCACTTCTCAGAGCTTTCCAAGAAGTGCTCAGAGAGGCAGAGATATGTCTGCTAAAGAGAAAGGGACATTTGAAGACATGGCAAAGGCGGACAAGGCCCGCTATGAAAGAGAGATGAAAACCTATATCCCTCCTAGAGGAAAAACAAGACAGAGTTCAAGGATCCCAGCGCGCCCACGAGGCCGCCTTCGGCCTTCTTCTTGTTCTGCTCTGAGTATTGCCCAAAAGTCAGAGGAGAACGTCTGGCCTCTCCACCGGTGATGCTGCAAAGAAACTGGGAGAAATGTGGGCTAACACTGCAGCAGACGACAGCAGCCTTATGAGAGCAGGGCTGCCGAGCGGAAGGAAAAGGACGAAGAGGGCATTGCTGCCTACCGAGCTAAAGGAAAACCCAATGCAGCAAAAAAGGGAGCTTTCAAGGCTGGAAAAAGCAAGAAAAAGAAGGAAGAGGAGGAAGATGAGGAAGATGAAGAGGAGGAGGAGGAGGAGGACGATGAAGGGATGAAGATGATGATGATGAATAAGTTGGTTCCAGCGCAGTTTTTTTTCTTGTCTATAAAGCATTTAACGCCCCTGTACACAACTCACTCCTTTTAAAGAAAAGAATTGAAATGTAAGGCTGTGTAAGGTTTGTTTTTAGACTGTACAGTGTCTTTTTTTTGTAGAGTTAACACGCTACCGAATGTGTCTTTCGATAGCCCTGTCCTGGTGGTACTTCACATAGTCACTAACCTTGCCTGGTACACTATGGGGGTTGTAAATGGGCGTGGAAATTTAAAGCAGGTTCTGGTTGGTGCACAGCACAAATTAGTTATCTATGGGGATGGTAGTTTTTCATCTTCAGTTGTCTCTGATGGAGCTTATACGAAATGTTGTTCTGTTAACTGAATACCACTCTGTAATTGGAAAAAAAAAATTTTTTGTTTTTTTTTTTTTTTTTATACCACTCTGTAATTGGAAAAAAAAATGTTGCAGCTGTTTTGTTGACATTCTGAATGCTTCTAAGTAAATACAATTTTTTTAATTA